CCTCTACCTCCTGGGTTCAAGCGATTCTCCTGCCTCAGCCTCCTGAGTAACCGGGACTATAAGTGCCTGCCACCACGCCCAGCTCCTTTTGTATTTTTAGTAGAGACGGGGCTTCACCATGTTGGCCAGGCTTGTCTCGAACTCCTGACCTCAAGTGATCTGCCCCCCTCGGCCTCCCAAAGTGTTGCGATTACAGGCGTGAGCTGCTGTGCCCAGCCTTCTGATTTCTATTCTTTTAAATTTGTTGTGGTGTGTTTTATGGCCCAGAGTGTGGTCTATCCATGTGAATGTTCCATGGGAGCTTGAGAAGATTGTGTGTTCTGCTATTGCTGGATGAAGTAGTCTCTAAATGTTCATTATATCTAGTTGATTGATAGTGTTGTTGAGTTCAATTATGTCTGTACTGATTTGCTGCCTCCTGGATCTGCCCATTTCCTATAAAAGGGTGTTAAAGTCTCCAATTATAATAGTGGATTCTCCTATTACTCGTTGCAGTTCTATCAGTTTTTGCCTCATGGATTTTAACGCTCTGTTGTTAGGTGTATATACATTAAAGATTATTCTATCTTCTTGGAGAATTGACCCCTTTATCATTATGTAATGTCTCTCTCTCTCTCCCCCCTTTTATTTTATTTTATTTTTTTTGAGACAGGGTCTTGCTCTGTCATCCAGGCTGGAGTGCAGTGGCATGATCACAGATCACTGCAACCTCTGCCCCCTCGGGCTCAAGTGATCCTCCCACCTCAGCCTCCTGAGTGGCTGTGACCACAGGTGCACACCACCATGCCCAGCTAATTTTTTTGTATTTTTTAGTAGAGATGGGGTTTCACTATGTTGCCCAGGCTGGTCTCTTACTCCTGAGCTCAAGTGATCCACTCACCTTAGCCTCCCAAAGTGCTGGGATTACAGGTGTGAGCCACCATGCCTGGTCTGTAATGCCTCTCTTTATCCCTGACAACTTACCTTGCTCAGAAGTCTGCTTTGTCTAAAATTAATATAGCTGCTTCTGCTTTCTTTTGATTAGATAATACATTATTCTCCATCTATTTGCTTTTAATCTATATGTGTATTTTATTTAAAGTGAGTTTATTGTAGATAACATATAGTTTGGTCTTTTTTTTTGGTTCATTCTGATAATGTCTGTTTTTATTTTTATTTTTTAATTTATGTAGTTATTTAAGAGATAGGGCCTCATTCCGTTGCCCAGTCTGGGTTGCACTGGCACAATTACAGCTCACTGCATCCTCAAACACCTGAGCTCAAGTGATCCTTCTGCCTCATTCTCCTGAATAACTAGGACTACAGGCATGTACCAAGATGCTTGGCTAATTAAAAAAAAAAATTGTACAGATGGGATCTCACTATGTTGTCTAGGCTGATCTCAAACTCTTGGTCTCAAGCAATCCTCCTGCCTCAGCCTCCCAAAGTTCTTGGATTCTAGGCATGAGCCATTATGCCCTTCCTCTCTGTCTTTTAAATGGTGCGATTAGGCCATTGATGTTCAAAGTGATTATTGATGTAGTTAGATTAATATCTATGATGTTAGTGTTTTTTTCATTTGTTGCCCTTGTTCTTTGTTCCTATGTTTGTTTTCCACTCTTATTCTGACTCTTGTGGTTTAATTGAGAATTTTATGATTTCATTTTTTTCTCCTTAGCAAACTAGTTGTACTTTTAAAAACCTCTTTTAGTGGTTGTCCTAGAGTTTGCAATACCCATTTAGAAATAATGCAAGTCTACTTACAAACAGTATTATACTGCTGCACAGATGGTATGATAACTTATAACAAAATAACCCCAATTCTTCTCTCATATCCCTTGTATCATTGTTGTCATTCATTTCAGTTATATATAAGCATATATAAGAAAATATATATGAAAAAATATGCATAGGTAAGCATACATAATCTAATACAGTGTGGCTATTATTATTTTGAGTAAACCATTATTTGTTAGATCAATTAAAAATAAAGAAAATAAAAGTTTTAACTTTACCTTTACTAATTCCTCCTTTAATGTTCTTCCTTTCTTTATGTAGATTTGAGTTTCTGACTATATCATTTTCTTTCCCTCTAAAGACTTCTTTGACAACAAATTTCCTCAATGTTTGTCTGAGAAAGCGTTTGTTTCTCCTTATTTTTGGAGGATAATTTTGCATAGTACAGAATGCTAGGTTGGTGCATTTTTTTTCTCTCAACAATTTATATATTTAATTCCACTTTCTTCTTACTTACATGATTTCTGAGGAGAAGTCAGATGTAATTCTTATCTTTGCTTTTCTATAGGAAAGGTGTTTTTTCTCTGGCTTCTTGTAGAATTTTCTCCTTATATTGATTTTCTGTACTTTGAAAGTGGTATACCTAGGTGTAGTTTTTCTGGCATTTATCATGCTTAGTGTTCTCTAAGATGCCTGGATTTGTGGTTTGGTGTCTGATATTAATTTTTGGAAATTCTTAGTCCTTATCATATCAAATATTTCTTCTGTTCCTTTCTCTGTTTCTTTTCCTTCTGATAGTCCCATTACACATATGTTATACCATTTGTAATTGTTTCAGAGTTCTTAGAGATTCTGGGTTTTTTTTTTAGTCTTTTTTTCTCTGTGCTTATCAGTTTGGGAGGTTTTTACTGAGATATCCTTATGCTCAGAGATTCTTTTCTCAGCCAGGTTCATTCTACTAATAAGCCCATCAATGGCATTTTTCTTTTCTTTATTATTATTATTATTATTTGAGATATGGTCTTGCTTTGTCACCCAGGCTAGAGTGCAGTGGGGCAAACATGGCTCACTGCAACCTCGACTTCCCAGCTTCAAGTGATCCTCCTGCCTTAGCCTCTCAACTAGCTCAGACTACAGGCATGCCACCATGCCCTGCTAATTTTTGTATTTTTTGTAGAGATGAGGTTTTGCCACGTTGTCCAAACTAGTCTTGAACTCCTGGACTCGTGTGATCTGCCTGCTTTGGCCTCCCAAAGTGCTGGGATTACAGGCATGAGCCACCATGCCCAGCCTACATTTTTCATTTCTATTGCAATGTTTTTGATCTGTAGCATTTCTTTTTGGTTCTTTCTTAGAATTTCCATTTCTCTGCTTACCTTGCCCATCTGTTCTTGCATGTTGTCCTCTTTATGCATTAAAGCCTGAGTACATCAATCATACTGGTTTTAAGTTTCTGGTTTGATAATTTCAACATCTCTGCCATATCTGAGTCTGATTCTGATACTTGTTCTGTCTCTTCAGACTGTGGGGTTTTTTGCTTTTTTGTATGTCTTGTATTTTTTGTTTTTTTTGTTTTTTGTTTTGGATAACAGGATACAATAGGTGTCCTGGGTAAAAGGAACTGCTGTCAATAGGCCTTTAGTAATGTGGTGGTAAGATGTGCTGGGAGGGGAAGTGTTCTCCTCAGGCTTTCAGCGAGCCCGTTACTCTGGATTGTGAACTTCACAGGCCTCTAGGTCCCTTCCCCCACCTCACCTTAGGTGGGACAGGATGGCTGGAATGGACTTGAGTTGGATATTTCCCTTGTCCTATGTCAGTTATGCTCTGATGAAACCCTAGCAGGTCAGGCTCTGGTTACATAGTTTCTCCTGAGGATAGACCTTGTTAAGAACATAACGCTCTAGTATTTTTCAAAATGGCTCCTCTTCCCCTCCCTCTGCTGGAAGCAGGAGGGGATTTTTCCCCTAATATTCACTATGAGACCTGGTAGTGCTCCTGGAGGTAAAACTCACAAAAGTGTGGGGACCTCCTTATGATTCAGTTCCCCTGGAGTTTTTCTCTCTCAGACTTGTTCATACTTGTCTCAGAACTGGCTCCACTGGTTCCCACGGAGGTTTTGCTCTGGAAGTTGTGATTCTCTGTATTTGCCTGTTGGTCTTCCCAATTCTGGGGGAAGAAATTTGCCCTGTGCCATCACTTCTCTTATAGAACTAAGAAGGGTTGTTGATTTTTCACTGTTTGTTTTTTTGTTTGTTTGTTTTTTGTTTTTGAGAACAAGAGTCTCACTCTGTCACCCAGGTTGGAGTGCAATGGTGCGATCTCGGCTCACTACAACCTCCACCTCCCAGGCTCAAGTGATTCTCATGCCTCAGCCTCCCAAGTAGTTGGGACCACAGGTGTGCACCACCATGCCTGGCTAATTTGATTTTTCAGTTTGTTCAGCTTTTTACTTGTTAGGAAAGAGTGGCAACTTCCAAATTTCTTACATGCTGAACCAGAAACTGTTTTGTTAGTTTTTTAGGATTCACCTTAAGTCTTTTCCTCCAGGGAGCCTTCCCCAACTTTCAGGTGTGCATTAGGGACCCCTATGATGTGGTCCTGTAGATGCTTTTTGTTTCCCATAGCTTTTACACTTACGTATTGTGATTGTCAATTCACCTGTCAGATTTCCCCCTCAGACTGTTGACTCTGTGTGGAAAGGACGGTCTGCCTTATTCATTCCTGTATTCTCAGCACCATCCATCAGTGCCTGGCATATAATAGGTATTGAATAAATATGTGTTTGGTGAATAAATGAATGAATGAAACAGGTTATTCTCTATAATTGCAAATAAATTAGAAGCAGCTGTTAAATATAATCCATTCACTCAATCAGTCACTATTTACTAAGGGCCTATCACATGCCAGGCACTAGGTTAAAAAACTGATGATGAAAAAGCCACAGAAATATGGATACATGTTTATAACACAATTTAATGAAAAAGAAAACCACAATACATGTATGTACACCATGATTTAAACTCTTTAAAATATGTAGGAGGCAGCCTGGTATTGCACAGTGGTTTTAAGAGTTTCTATTTTTAGTTAAAGTCTCTTTCTTCAAATGAAATCTTAGAAGGCCAATATATAAAACATAAAAAGCAGAGATTTTCTGCTTGATGTAGGGGTGGAGGCCAGAGCCTGCCTACTCTTCTCTTCCTAGTCTGTTCTCTGTGCTATTGTCTGTCCTTTGTGCTACTGCCACCTTCCCAAGCCAGAAGGAAGCCACTGTGGCACCTCACAGGGGATTATTTGAAAGTCCCCAAAATAGACTTCTGGTTAAACATTGCACTTTAAAAACCTGTGTTTTTCTTTGATCTCTTTCAAAATGCTACTAAAATGACAGCAAAGAAGCCAAAAAGGCCCAAGTCCACAAGACAGAAAGAATAGGTGAAAAGTCCATGTCATCTCATTTTTGGAGATGGACATGGACAGGGGCTGGAACTGCAGTATCAGCAGATGGGGAGCTTCAGAAGGAAGTTAGTTCATGGTAAAGCACAGCAGAAAGTCCCCAGAATTGGAGGCACCAGATTCTTCTGAAAGAAAAGGTAAGAGGTGGAGCCGAAAATGGGAGGTTTATGGAAAGTCTTTAGAGAAAGTACTCAGACCTCTGGATTCCTTCCTCATCTCTTAGCAGCCTCTCTCCTGTCCTGGCAGAAACCAGGTTTACTCTCTTGGGAAACCGGACCACAAGAGGATCTGGGGACACAGACCAGCCAAGGATGGTAGAGATGCCTCACTGAAATAGGAGAAATAAGTGATTGGCTTAGGGTTGGGAATGCGACCTCAACTGGATCAGTTGAGGCCATCCTTGGCATTTTTAAATTCTGAAGCTGGAAGTGTGGGGAGGATAGTGTGTGTATCCTGCAGTTGTTGAGGTCCTTGTTCTAGTCCTTGAGATTCCTGGCTGCGACTGTTTCCTGTAACTCTTTAATTCTATGAAATGCCCAATATTCTTCTATTTTTCTCTGCTTGGGCTGCATTAACAAAGTATCACAGATTGGGTGGCTGAAAATGGGAATTTAATTTCTTGTGACTTTGGAGACCAGAAATCTGAGATCCAGGTGTCATGGGGGTTGGTTGCACTCTGGGAACTCTCTTCTTGCTTGCACATAGCCCTCCTCTCTGCAGCTTCACATGGCCTTCCCTCTGCTTGTGTTTGTCCTAATCTCACTTTCTTATAGGGACACCAGTTAGATTAGATTGGGATCCATCAGAATGGCCTCAATTTATCTTAATTAGCTCTTTCAAGGTCCTATGTCAAATATGGTTATATTTGGAGGTACTGGGAGTTAGGACTTCAACACATAAATTTTGGGGGGGACAAAATTCATTCTATAATGCCTTCTACTATTGCCAGCAAATATTGAGATAATTTAAGCAATTTCATATTTAGTTTCTGTTGCTTGCACTCACAGAGAGCTCTGACTTATACTATTCACTTGCCTCTTAGATATTGCCTTTTGTCCATTATAGTCATCATTAACTGTTATTTAAATCTGCCTTACCATTAACCTTTTCCTATGTTTCTGTTCCTTAAGATGACCCATAGTTTGCATGACCCATGGAGTCAGATGACCAAAGTAGTAAAGTTCTGTTTGCTGGCTGCCTGATCTTTGGTGAAGTTCTCTGTGCCTCAATTTTCTTATCTGCAAACTGGGGATGGTGATAACAGATATTCACAGAGTTGTGAAGATTAAATGTCTTAATAAATGTAAAGCACTTAGACCAGACTGGCTTATGGTGAGTGTTATGTAGGTTCATGCTATCATTTATTCATTCAGTAGTCTCTATGGGGAAGAGCCACGTGCCATGGACGTGGTAGATACTTAGTAAATATTTATTCATTTTCTCTTGTTAATGTATGTGTTATAATAGGTGATTCTCAAAGTTACCTGCAAATTCTTATTACTCTGTATACTGTTATCTGACAATGTGATGATATCTGAAGCACGTATCTTAAATACTTTAAACAATTTGATACAACAAACAAAAACAGAGTCATTTTCTTCTGTATTGGAAGCTGTACTGTGTTGGATGAGAGACTGGGGTGGAAGTAGGGATTGCAGGCTTCTGGTCCTGGCTATACCCTCACACTGTAGACTCTGGACAAGTCTATACTCTCTGCCTCGTTTATTTACACATCAAGGCTGGACTATGTAAGTTTTAGGTTCTTTAATGTTTTATATCACTTATCTTTGAAAGGTCATCTTAGGTGAGCTGTGCAGAGTCTTTAAAAGCTACATTTCCCCCTCCTTTCTTACTTTAAATATAATGGTAATTAAAATGTGTTGGAATTATAATATATATTAGATGCATCCCTGGGTATCAGTTACAAGAATGAGAAAGAAATTATTAACAGTTGGCAAAGATTAGTATCAGTTGTAGTATCTTGTGATAAATTGAGAATTTTATTTACTAATGAGTAACCTCTCCTCCCCCATACAAAAAACTAGTGTGCTTATAAAAGAATTAAAAAATGGAATTTTATTTGATTGGATTTTAACTTCTTAGCCATTCTTAATATTTTTGGAATAGCATTTTGGGTCCTGACCTTCTAAGTCAATTTGTTAGTCTGCAACTGTAGTGTCTCTGGCACGGCTGGGAAGTGGTAGGGGATGTGGGGTGGGTGGGTGCAAGAAAAGTAAAACATACGATGTTCACTCTTGACAAAACGATTTTGTGCTGTGAACACCCACACTTGCACACAATACTCAGACATATTAACACATGCGCATGCACTCTCCAATACGTGCAAAGTAACATCACATTCCTTCTTTCACTCAACAAAAATGTGCTGATTGCTCACTCTGTTCCTGGGGATCTGTGTGAACCAAGACAAAGTTGACACTGTAGTTAGATATATCTCTCTGAATAAAAGAATAAGTTTAAGGAAGCGTGAGGGTTAATTCTCTGTTTATAAGCCTCAAGGGTGAATTCACACCGAGCAGCAGGGAGCAGTGTTCTCAGGCAGGGCAGCTCTCCAGAGGATCTGCAAGGAAGCAGAGTATGCCTTGTGTGACTGGTGTTATCCAGCAGATCATTTTTTTAACACCCCACTGCTCCTTACAGCATTATTTTTGGTAATAATAATGAAATGAATAAAAAGAAAAATGGACTGAAAAGAAACATGGTGAGATTTTTATTTTATTGAACTTTGTATATGTAATCATTCCAATAAAAATGAAAAATAAAATAATAAAATACATTTTATAGTATCAAAAAAGGGGAAAGTAGTGGACTAATATTTTTAATTACATTAATGTTTTTCAAACAAAAGAGAAAATACATACACCTACATACTAGACTGCCATAAAAATGAATAACATTATTGTGCAATAGTAATTACACAAGAAAAAGAACAATAAAAAAGACATCAACTTCAATTTTTAAAGATATTATTCAAAGTGTGAAATACTGCACATGTGAAATAAACTTGCAGTTACCAAAAGAAGTGGTTTACACTGCTTTATTATTTTAAATTTTAATTGTATATAAAAACTCCAAGTGAGTTTTCATGAGAGTGCTAAATCGGATGAGAGAGAATTGAGGTAGCCCAAGTCCCATCACAATCGCTGTACTGCCAATGTTTATTCCAAATCTAGTGTTTAAATGCAGAAGCAGATAGTCCCACATTGGTTGGAGCATGAAGTGTACCCAAAGCAAGCACAAATGTGAATGATTCTGAACCATCAGGAACTTAACTCTCAAACAAGAGCGTGTAGATAAGTCCATTTATGTCGTCTTCTCTGAGTTAACTCCCACGTAGGAGTTATTACTAAATGAGAAAATGTGTTTCTTAAGAGATAAGCAGTAACATTGCTGATTTTATTTATTATGAAATTGAATGATAACCACAGAAATTTTTTAGACTGCAGATCAACCAAAGGTTTAGTGGGGAGGAGGACAGCATTTGACTATTGTGTAGAATCGCCAATGTGTGAATATAGTAAAAGCAAATCAGCTTTTAGTCTATTTAATTATTGTTTTAAAATTCTCTATAGAAAATGTGTCTCCTTATTGCCTGAGACTACTCCTATTACCACTGTTGGTCTACCAATGCCATCGGCAATTGGAAACAATGATACAGGGACTGGACTGTAAATTAAAGCCATATGTATTTAGCAGTAGTGGAACCAGCTCTACATGGGAACCTCATGAAGCCCCAGTTGACACTCCGGATCTTGCAGCAGGGTGAAGAGTCTGTTCAAAGTTGCTTTGCATAGGTTCTGAAATGGCTGCATAAGCTGATTAATAGATAACCAGACATTTTATAAAATAAGAGTTAGGGTGCACATGTTTATGTGTGGGAGTGTGCATGTGTATACATGGGGTAAAGTCAAGAAAGGTGGTGAAAAGCACTAAGAATAAGCATAAGATGAATTTGTGCCCTCTCCTGGAAACAATGGGAAATTTTAGGTTTAAAAGTAACATGGATTTAAATAGCCTCTCCAAGTTTAAAATACCTCAAAGCATTTAATTCTTACTGTTAGTTTCCCTGTGAGTTTGCTGAGATGTCTAGTGCCAGTTCAACAAGGAGGCAATTGTGATAGGGATACTCAATGGTACTTTCCCCCAGGATGAATTTATGGATCGATAGATGAGTTTTGGACGTATTTATAAGAAAAGAACCAAACTTAGTGACAAGCAACCATTTAAAGCTATTATTTAAAAGTGTTCACTTACAGAGACTGTACGTACAGATATTCACTGAAGAAAAATCTCCTGCATGTGCACCAGGAGACATGTTATGAAAATGTTCTGACAGTTTGAGGTTATTGATCCTCAGCTATGGTTTTCTGCTCAATGCTACTAATGACCCTCCAAAAAGATCACCTTCTTTTGAGTGCAGAGAGGTGGTTTTGGTCATTATTGTGGAGAAGCTCTTGGAACTCTCTCACTGCAGAAACCATGTTGTTGCAGTGTTCCTCCTGCTTAGCCAGCTGGGCCTACTGCCCGCTGCTCCAGGTGTCCCAGGTGTTCCATGGCACAGCTCAGGATCACACTGCCTCACGCCTCACACCACCGGCCTCCTCCCTCCTACTCTGGGCCCTCCTTGTCACCAGGTGCAAGACACAACAGGACCACTGGGGGCGCACTGCCTTGATAGGGCCTGGAGACCCCAGGCTGCAGGCAGAAAGGAAGTGTCCCTGGCTTGTGCCTGCTTGCTGACTTGTGTTCTGAGACTCATATAAGGGGCGAGGTAACAATGCTAGAAGCTGATGCCCAGTGAAACAAAACAAATTTTTTTTTTTTTTTGCAACAGAATCTCACTCTGTCACCCAGTCTGGAGTGCGGAGGCAGGATCTCCGCTCACTGCAACCTCTGTCTCCCAGGTTCAGATTCTTGTGCCTCGGCATCCCAAGCAGCTGGGGTTACAGGCGCCACCATCACGCCCAGCTAATTTTTGTGTTTTTAGTAGAGATGGGGTTTTGCCATGTTGGCCAGGCTGGTCTCGAACTCCTGGCCTCAAGTGATCCGCCCACCTTGGCCTCCCAAAGTGCTGGGATTACAGGCGTCAGCCACCGTGCTGAGCCCCAGTGAAGCAAATTTGAAGTACTAAGAGGCAGATGATAGGCAATAACCCATAGACAAATTCTTCCTCTTCTTCTCTTCCAAAGGATTCTTCTGAGAAATGTTTCCATGTGGGCCTCTCTGGAAACTTCCAGGTGACAGAACAACCAATAGTGCTTTCTAGTGAAGCAAGGCCAGCCCAATAATCTTCTCTTTGCTTTCCTGCCTTCCTGTATTATTGGCCTGCCCCCGTTCACTCCTGCTCCCTTGGGTTTGCACCCCTCTAGTGAAGCTTTAGAATGTAAATTTTGCCTCAGCCTATAATTTCTAGGAAACCTAGACTCAGACAAAGAGTGTTTACTGCAGTAAAATTGTCACAATGCTCATTGTTTTATGATCACAAAATAAGTAATTAAACTATCAGTACAAAGAAAAAGAAGAAAAAATAGACAAAAAAGTATTTTCAAAACCAGAAACTAGAATTAAAGCAAACACAGGCTCAGTGCAAAGAATAGATTTCACTTCTATTCTTTCTCTGCTGCTTATTTTCAAGCTGTCTTGTACACATTATATTTTAAATGTACAATATTATGAAAAAATTGAGCTCCTTAAGAAATGCTTAAATATATGGATGCCAATGATTAGTCTACAAAAGAAAAAGTAATATTCAGAAGAGTAGTAGTTGCTTCAGATGTAACTTTAATATATTTCATTATATAAAATTGGCTTGAGTTTCAGAAGGTCGGCTAAGAGTTCTGGAGTCAGGTTGACCTGGGATGAAAAGCCCAGCTATAGCCATCACGTAGAAGTTACCAAGTCTCTTTAAGCTTCAGTTTTTCTCCTCTTTTAGATAAAGATGGGATAGTACATAAGTCATAGGGTTATTATAGGTTTTAAGCGAGATAATTTAGTATGTGGCCCACAGTGCTCAATAAACATTATTATTATGACCCATAATAGTTCCAGTGAGGAAAACTAATTCTTTGTGAGCAATAATTGGTGTTGAGCAAAGCTATATTAATGCTAGTTATCTTGGGAAAGATGAATTCTAGTTGGAACTTTTGCAATAGAAAGCAGGATGTGATTTTTTCACCATTTTAAGAATGTGGGGTGTGTGTGTGTGTGTGTGTGTGTGAGAGAACTCATTCAATCCATTTTATGGAGCACCTACCTTGGGCCCAACAATTTTTCTAGGCACAAGGTTAGATGGAAGTCAAGGTAGAGTAGGTCCCTGTCCTCAAGGATTTTCTGTTCATGAAAAACAGCTTATTATTGTTCTTCGTTTGTTTTCTTTTGCAAAAGGAGCAGTTCAGCACTTGACAGGGAGACAAGAGGTCGACACCCCAGGACAGAGTGAAAACCTAAGGTTTGTATTTTTGATACACAAAGTGCTCTTTTGAAGAAAACCAAAAAATGTCAAGTTTCTGGCAAGATATGGAAAGAGGACAGAAGGAGACCAGAGCCCAAGCACCAGAGGGCAAAGATGTGGAAAGTGGTCCTAGTTAGGAGCTGTTGCCCCGGAAATGTTGAGGGCACAAACTGTAAGCAGGATCGCAGTGGAGACAGCTAGTGTCAAAAGCCCTGCTGAGTCAGTCCTTTACACGGGCTGTCCAGCCTTCAGCATGGGGGTCTCAGCATGGCAGGCTGCACCTGCTAAAATTTCTGTCTTCGCAGTGGTGAGAATCGGCTCCTTCTGCACTTGTAAGTGCAAATTTGGTTCTGCCACTGTCTGATTGCCTGGTGCTCACGCCTCACTTCCCTGTCAAGCCGGGTCTTCATAAAACCAGAGAGGACTTCACTTCTCCCTAGCAATTACCAATTCTGTGAAACTGATTACTCCAAACTGTATGTATAGACTTATCAACGAAGAAAGACTTTGCCAGATCATCTTTTAAAATTAAACCTCAACTTTGATGTACTCGCTGTGCTCCAAACGCACCTGTCTTTTTCCTTGTTCCTCAACGATGTCATGTTTCTGTTACAGGGTCTTAGCATATGCTATTCCTTCTGCCTGGAGTGCGCAGCCCCAGACCATCACATGACTGGCCACACTGCTCAGATTTTAGCCTAGATGTCACCTCTTTATAGAAGCCTTCTCTGACCACCCTATTTAATGTTGATCACTCCACCTGCAGCTGAGATGCCAACTAATAAATTCCCTCCTACTCCTCCATTCTTTCTTTAATTTTTATGCCTCATGTGAAAAGTATCAAGTCAATCACATACTTCAGTTCATGGTATGCTATTATTACATTTCTTTCATGGATATTTTCCCCATTAATCCCTGGTTTCCATTTCCATTACCTCTCCTTTCATATATTCATTCACTATAAGGCATTACATGTATATCCTTGTCTAAAAATGTAATATTGTCAAATGTAAGTTATTATTTGGCATATTATATGTTTCACAAATAGTATTGTGCAATTGACCTTGTTGTAGGTATTATGTTTTGTATTCACCAGTGTGTTCTAAAGACCCATCTGTATCTGTTATATATGTATGCACACTTGGTTCATTGCTTCTAACTGATCCTTGGTATCCTGCAGTGTGCATTCATCCCTGCTCTCGATACAGTCAGCTCCCAAATTCCGTAAACAACTCCTCTGTAAGTAACCTCCTTCTGACAGGGGGTAGAATTGCTCAGAGGCCAGATGCTGCCATTGTTATCTGTTCCTCACCCTGGCCAGGCTGTGGCACTGCCCTGATATTATCCTATCACCTCCGCGTAGCAGATATTTTGTCTCAAGGTGGTGCCAGGCCAGGCGATTATCTGCCAAGAACAGCGGTTGGAGAGAGGAAACAGCCTGCAACTCTGCCTGCACCATGTCCTAACAGTGACTTTCTCTGCTCAGCCTATGGGTTACCCACAGCAGGTCACAGCCACCCTTTCTCTCTGCCCAGGGGTTTCTTATGGTTTTTACCTAGATTTACATCGACTTGCAGATCGGTACACCCCTCTCTTGCTTCTGGGGCAACATCAGGGTTGGAATGTGTGGAGGTCCTTATAGTCTTCATAATGCTAATCACTACCTGGAATTATCATCTTTCTTTATTGGTTTACTTGCTTATTGTCTGTCTCCCTCACTGTAAGACTGTAAATGCCACATGAGCAAGGACCTTATCTGAACACCTTTCTGGGTTTGGGGATATCTCACCACATGCATACCATTGAGGGGCAGAGATGCCTTCCAATGTAGAAACAGCCAGGACCATATAGTCACAGCCCCAGGCAGCTTCACAGCTAAAGCGCAGGCATTTCTTCTCTATGTGACCATCAGACCAACCTGTGAATCCCAAGCTGGAGAAATGAAGTCACCAAGACAGTGGAGAATTCACTGGTGGGCGCAGCTGTAGTGGCAGCAGTAGCGCTTATGGCAACAGTTTCAGGAGTAGCAGTTGGTATCCTGCCTCCAAAGACAGAATGTCAGACCACCAGCAGCACTGCCTTTACCGGACTGGTACTAGGACCTAATTTTGGAAGTGGTTCTTCCTATCTAGCCTTTGGGCTACCTAATAGCCTTTCAACAAATTTGTCATTTCCTAAATCAGTCAGAATCAACTTTTAGTGTGTAAACTGAGAACCCCCAGAAGAACTACTAGCCACAATGTCCCCTTTTATTGTCTAAGTCCATTTGAGCTGAACTTTCTGTCACTTGAAGACAGAAGCTCCCTAACTCAGGGTCTTCAACTCCCAGGCCACACAGCAGGAGGTGAACAGTGGGCTGGCAAGCAGGGGAGGCTTCATCTGTATTTATAGTCACTTCCCATCACTTGCATCACCGCCTGAGCTCTGCTTCCTTCAGATCAGCAGTGGCATTACATTCTCATAGGAGTGGGAACCCTATTGTGAACTGTGCATGTGAAGGATCTAGGTTGTGTGCTCCTCATGAGAATCAATGCCTGATGATCTGTCACTGTCTCCCATCACCCACAGATGGGACCGTCTCGTTGCAGGAGAACAAGCTCAGGGCTCCCACTGATTCTACATTATGGTGAGTTGTATAATTATTTCATTGTATATTACAATGTAATAATAATAGGAATAAAGTGCATAATAAATATGATGTGCTTGAATCATCCCAAAACCATCCCCCACCCTTATCCTGTCCATGGAAAAATTGTCTTCCATGAAACCAGTCCCTGGTGCCAAAAAGGTTGGGACAACTGCCCTAACTGATGTAAGAGTATGGGCAGTAAGCGTTTTCAGTGCACTGAGTGATTAAAGATTGTTGCGGCAAGGTGGGTGCACAGTTGAACTGAGCTCAGTGCATCCACTGGCAAGGAGATGGTAGCAGGAAATAGGCACGTGGTGGCTTCAGTAACAGAGAGGACTGCAGGGCAGACCTGAGCTTAGTAGCCTGGCTTCTCCGGGAGCTGAGGGTGAGCATCATGCCGGCTCCATCTCCCTCTTTGTTGTGGAAAAGGCAGGTAGGAAGAATGACAGATTGCCTTACCCTTTCTAACTGTTGTGTGCTCTCCATACCCCACCCAATCCTACTTCAATATTGTCACCTAAGGCTTCACAAACCCACACTTGTACGAGTCCAGCTGTCTGTGGTCTAGACTGTCAAGGAACATATCTGATTCTGAGATGCTCAGGAAAGTATGCTCCCAATTAGCCCTTATCCAGACTAGTTTACTTGCTGAGTATCCCCAGGGCACAGGGACAATCATTTGGGGTTGCGGCTTTGTTCATAAGGTCATCAAGACAGGAGGATATGAGGCAGAATCACCACACAAGGTAAGAGTACATTTAGAAATTCTCTTGAATAAATAATACTGGCTTTATCACTATGCTTATTTCTGTGTTTCTACTTGCTCTCATATTTTGGCTTGGTTATTTGTTACTATCTTGTTAGCTTTTTGATGCCTCTAGTTTTGTTTTTATTTTTGATATTGTTGTTTTCTTTTTTTTTGAGACAGAGTCTCACTCTGTCACCCAGGCTGGAGTGCAGTGTCACAATCTCAGCTCACTGCAGCCTCCGCCTCCAGGGTTCAAATGATTCTCCTGACTCAGCCTCCCGAGTAGCTGGGATTGCAGGTGCCCACAACCATGCCAGACTAATTTTTGTATTTTTAGTAGAGACAGGGTTTCATCATATTGGCCAGGCTGGTCTCGAACTCCTGACCTCAGGTGATCCGCCTGCTTCAGCCTCCCAAAGTGTTGGGATTACAGGCATGAGCCACTGCGCCCAGCCGTTGTTGTTTTTTTCTGATTTAGCTGCATCTTTTGTTATTTTCAGTAGGAGAATGGTCCAAAATATCTTGGTTGCCATATTGTCAGAAATCAGAAATGGTAATCTTCTATTGTTTTTTAAATTTCATCATTCTTATTTAATTCTTCATTTAATTGGTTCTTTAAATCTCTTTGACATTTTAAGATAATTTCTCATTTCCTGCCTATATTTTCAAGGTTGTTCGATATTTCTCTAAAATTGTTAAACATAGTATTTTGCATTTTGTATATGATATGTCCAATATTGAAAACACCCATCCTGCCACTACAAGAAAAGTTTTGCCCAAGAATGAACCAACATAGAGAAAAACAGAGCTAAGACAAACCAAGGCTAACTGCTGATTTAATTTCCTAGATCCAGCTATTCTTGAAGCCTTCTCAGTTACACAAACCAATAATACTTAAATACTTTTTTTACTTAAACTATTTTCTGTTTCCATTACTTACAACCAAAATAGTTCTGATTAATACATAGAATAATGTGAATTTATATTTTTATTCTGATTTTTATTCTGACTTTATAAAAAAGAACTTTTACAGTTATACATTATGCTTGGATAAATACATGTATAAATATTTGTTTGGGATGGAGGATGTATACTAAAATGTTAACATCAGGTTTCTGTGGAGGATGAGTTGGAAGGGATGAAGGAGACATTAATCTCTTTTTCTGGCAGGGTGCAGTGGCTCACACCTGTAATCCCAGCATTTTGAAGGTGGAGGCGGGCGGATCACCTGAGGTCGGGAGTTCAAGACCAGCCTGACCAGAATGGAGAAACCCCGTCTCTACTAAAACATACAAAAATTAGCTGGATGCAGTGGCAGGCGCTCATAATCCCAGCTACTCGGGAGGCTGAGACATGAGAATCACTTGAACCTGGGAGGCAGAGGTCGCAGTGAGCTGAGATCGCACCCTTGCACTCCAGCCTGGGCAACAAGAGCGAAACTCCATCTCAAAAAATATATATATATATCTTTGTCACCTATGCAATGTTTGACCTGCAAGTGCTTGTATCTTTTGTAATTGTTTAAATCCTACAAAATTTTAAATGACTATTGCATATACTTTGTGTTTTTCCAAATATAAGATTTTATAAAGAAGAGAATGGTGTAAGTGACCCGGGGACAGTGGGGGGAGCTTAAATTTGAAACTAGAAAAAATTTTGAACAAAGTAATCATAATTGTTAGCTGATGAAAAACTAGAAAAGATTTTCTGAGTAAATTCTTGATTTCAGATATTAGTTATAATTTATATTGCTCTTAATATCTTACCTTTGAACATAAATGATTAATGCCCTTTAAAATGTCCTTTTTTCTAGCTAACCTGATGTACATATGACATTAATCCAATAGACTTAGGAATAAGATACAGGGGGCTTTCCTGAATGATTCAAGTATATCCCCATTCATATTAAGAAAACAAAGTATTGGCCGGGTGCGGTGGCTCATGCCTGTAATCCCAGCACTTTGGTAGGCCGAGGCCAGCGGATCACCTGAGGTCAAGATCACCAAGACCAGCCTGTCCAATATGGTGAAACCCCATCTCTACTAAAAATACAAAACTAGCCCAGCATGGTGCTGGGCGCCTGTAATTCCAGCTACTTGAGAGGCCTAGGCAGGAGAATCGCTTGAACCCCAGAGGCAGAGGTTGCAGTGAGCCGAGACTGTGCCGTTGCACTCCAGCCTGGGCAAAGAGAGCAAAATTCCATCTCCCCAAAAAAAAGAAAGAAAGAAAGAAAGAAAGAAAGCAAAGTATTAAGTTATTTCATGGACCTGGAAATTTGTCTTTATCAAATTCTAATTCTGAGTTAAAAAACAAATTATAAGTTCTTATCACAATCTGTTTTGCAATATGTTTTAAATAATTACTTATTACAACGTTGGACACTTTTTTCCCGGAGATATCTTTCGTTTCTTGATTATGAATGTAACCAAGTGTCTGAACTGCTTAAATGATCAAAAATCTTTATCTCATAATTTTATGAAAACATAATTTAGATACATAGGTGTACAATATTTACATTTGCATTATTTTGTGAGATGGGCTTTTCCCCTGCTGGAGGCTGGGGAATGAGATTAATGGGAACACTGGTGACGAGTGCAGGGGAAAACACACATTGCCAACTCTTGCCTTGGAGTGGCATTTCACAGTCTTAACCTCACAGTATACTCCAAACCCATAAAAGGTCATTTGCCTTCTCTCACAAGCCTTTAATTCACTTGAGAGATGGGCTTAGACAAAGATAAAGCCCCTGTGAATTGGTAGCCTGGCTTTGGGGAAAGACTTACACAGTAACTAAGGGTGTTGGATAAACAGATGCTAACCATTTACTTACAGATCTCATAACTATGATTATTGTATGATCATTTATTCATAGCACATAATAGCTGCCTTGAAGTTCCTTTTAACAGAAAAAGGATCAGTTTCAATATAATTACAACTTGGAAATTATTTCCTTGAATCTGGGTATATCAGATTGTTAGATTTTGTTTTTGTAAATCCATGTTTATAGGTAGAAATGATCATGTCTTTGTGTAATTTATAGAAAAAAGGTATTCTAGCAGAATAGCATTTTTAATGTACTGTGTATTAAATATTATCCATTAAATCCTTCAAAATGAAAATTTTGACACTTGATAGTGAGTGAAAGAAGTAAACAACACACCCTGAAAAGGCACAGTAATATGTAAATAATTTTTATCTTATAACATCCATTCCATAAGACAGCATAATTGATTTTATTGATTTACAGTACAGTCAACGTTCTTGTAATGTAAAATTTAGCAGGTAGCTTAGACATTAAATTTTAAACTCAGAATCATCATCAATCTTTTATTTAGATCTGATAAGCTTCTGGAGTTGCTCCAACAGTGGAATCTTAATATGGTTCTCCCACACAGAATAATTCACCTTCGGAATATTATGTCCTCTTTTCCAAATATGTAAACAAATGTATTACTTATTTTAATGGAAATAACATACAACTACATTTTTTTCCACTTTGCATTGCAGTAAGGATTACGTTGCTTTGACTAACAGCTTATACTTTTTTCTCGGCTTTATTAACTCCAGCCAAGTCCTTAATTTTCATGAATAGAACTGAAAATGCTGTTCTTTTAATCTTCTGAGTTGAATTCTGGGTCATGCAAAGATTAAGTGAAGTGACTCCAAACCTAAAATCCTATAATTACGGAATGTCTGTTTAGATTGGTGCTTGGTCTTCTTTTTCCCTCTTCTAGATTGGGAAGAGAGCTTTCTGAACTGCAAATTAGGAAGACCTTGACTTGTTTGTCTGTGGTAGAGCAAACAGAGTTGAAGAGGCCATCTATTTAGCTACCATTTGTTTTGTTTAATCTGAGATTAGGCCTAGGTTTACAAAAGAAATCTACTAAATTTAGAGTAAACAGAATTCCTTAAGGCAGCATTGCTTGATGGTATTTTCTTCTTATAGCCTCTTCTGAGTGGTTTGTGATTAAGGGATAAAAAAGTGACTATTTTAAGCTCTGAAAACTGTGAGAACACAGTTTTGGAGGAAATAGAAGGTAAATTGATCAAATAATTTACTAGGGAACTTCAAAATGGTGGCATATGTTCTTTAAATGATTTTTTTTTTTTAACTTGTAATAATTCCTCTGAAGATCTACTGGCTGTTTTTAACCACTGACCATCACCTAAGGGAAGACCATGTGACCATGTGACTCGTTACTATAACGGCCTGCATTAAAAAAAAAAAAAAAAAAACTCAGGGAAGGAAGACTTACAACTATAACCTCATTTCTAATTGGACTGTGGTGAAAAAGAAACTAGTCATCGCTGAAACTAGGGGCCAGGAGAGCTGCTTGCCTGTCCTGAGCAATCTGTAGTTGGCAAAACTTTAACTTTACATATAAAGAGACCATTTTTTTACAGTGAGTTTGGGGTAAATTGTGTAAAGTCTCAAAGGGACCTAATACAGGACATTTACTAGATTCCAAATTTGACACTTTAAGGAAGACTGCGATAAGTAATGTGACCGTCCACCTTAGAGATAGTATTATTCATTAATGAAGGGTATTCATTTAGTTTTGTTTTTATAACTCCAATAAATTTAAGAAATGTCTTTGTGGTCCTTAAAAGTAGAAAACATATTTATGATGCCATGTTTTTCTACTTGCTGCTTTATCTGCTTGGAGAGCCTGCCTGGAGCAGCCAGGTAAGTTGAAAGGAGTAAGAACTTGGGGCCAGGCAGCCAGACAGACGTGCATTCACATTTCAGCATTCACGTTTATGAATTCAGTAGTTCAGCAGTTCAGTCAGAGGCTGGATGAGTGTGAGCGTGAAGCTTATGCTCCCTGCTTCCCCAGATCTTAAGTGGAATCAATAATAATTACACTGAGGAGATGTGAAATAATGAAGTAACATATTCAGAGTGCCTAGTTCATAGTAGATGCTTCAAAATGATGCTTTCCTTCCTCTTTCCCTTACGTTTGCCTGGTAAATCACCCATCCTTCAGATGGACTCAACGACTCTCTATTACCATCCAGCTCTCAAGTCCCTTCTCTTGTGAAAATGGAAAAGTTGAACTACAGTTGAGATATTATTCCCAGATGTTCTTTGGAACACAGGGGATTTCTCCAAAAGACACAGAACAAATTGCCTCCAAACAGCCAGGATTCCAGCAGAAGCCGGAGTAGCAGACTACTTGGATCTTCGAAGTACCTGGCCCTGAGTCAGTTAAGGAAGATCGTTTCTTCTCTTCTGTACAATCCTATCATGAGAGCTGCGAAATGAACTAAGAGCTTCTGCTTTCATCATTGACCTCCCAATCCTAATAATATGTTCACTGGCCAACTTCCTAGTCAATTTGTCTTTTGGATATAATGTTCCTCTACTATTTGCCTGATTGAGAAATCTGCTACAGAACATGACCAGTTAGCATTCCCACCAACCCCAGTGCTACACTGACTGTCTTTCGATGGACTTTCCTCCTTGCTGCCTCTCTGAGGTCCCAGACCTTCAGAGTGACCCTCACGGCTCTGCCTAAGTTTCCGTCATACTTCTGTCAAGAGAGACAGCTAAATCAATATTTTTAATGTGCTTTGCTGCCAGAATTCGATGATCTGTCACAGTTCTTGCCTAATACACCCAATCATTATTGTTAAAATTTTTTTAGCTTTGTTTGTAGAATTGCTTTAACTGGTTCCATCTCTGGGAGCTACACTTTGAAATATAACTTTAGCAATATTTTACTATACTTTTTCACAACCCAGAGCAGTAATATTTTATGCTAAGTGGTTAATCTAATTCCATAAATCTTTTGCAACTATCCTCTATTCTTTTCCTTGTAATTTCTACCTGGGAAGGTTTTTACTGATTATCATCCTATCCTGAGTCATCCCACAAACCAATCTGTCTCACTTCATTGCTTCTAACCTACAGACTAAGCATAACTTTGGCTAAATGATCTTTGATAAGATGCTATGACTCTATAAAGTCTTTGATATTCATGTCTAAATTTAATCAATCACTTGTAGATTTTCATAGAATCAATCTTTCACTTCTACAATTGGGAGTATTTGTAAGTTGTTTATCTTAAACAGTTCCTCTATTATGCTTTTCACATTAAATAAATCAACCCCTTCAAATCAATTTTCTGTCATGTCTATGATGTTATTATTTCATGGCATGGGTCAAGGGTCTACAAACTTTTTCTGTTAAGACCTAGATAGTAAATATTT